TCTCGTGTAGCTTTGCGCGAAATTCAAAAACAAACAAACAAACTAATCGAACATTGTCAATACTTGACTGTCAGGTATGTTTGTAGGACATAACATCATTCAGAAACAATAATATTCTAAAGAAGCAATAGACAAATTCTTCATCTCTATCAAGTTCCCACCTATGTGTATGACAAGCAAAGCTTGTTTTTCCGTTTGTAACGATATTCATTCCTTTAAGACTCAAATGCATGTGGTTCAATAACAGAGTGGCCCACCGGGAGACTGAGAAATTTCGTGGTGGGCCCGTTAAACCTTAACACATGCCTCTCTCCACTAAGGGCACGAGGAACGCCATTCTGGTTACATAACTGGTAACTCTGGAGCGAAATTACTGTTGTTACACATGTTCGTAAGTTTCGTGTATAGTTTATCACATTTTCAGTTAAACCAAGTAAAGTTTATTGAATTTATTTTTGATGATGAATGACGATTACAATGCCACATGATAATAATGCAATCGTCACCTTAAAGTTATGAAAAGCGAAAGTTGAGGGTGGTCTATATATAGCACAACTGTCACTATAGTGCCGATGTCTTTTCCCAAGCCGCTAGTGGGTACCCAACCCACCCCTAATGTAAATTAAAAGGAAGCTACAGAAACATCTGTACTTGTTAGTTTACTTTTGAAAAGTATGTTAAACTTCCTCCATATTAATCTTAAGCTCCAAACTTACGTTTTATGTCTATATATCTACGATACATTGAAATACCGAGCAGTTAGTTATACGAAACATCTTAGTGGTTAAGGAAGTGGAATGCTCGGTTTTCGGGAGGATCTGAAATACCGAATATCATACTACACAAAATATCTTAGTGGTTAAGGAACTAAAGTGTTCGGTTTACGGGAGGATCTGAAATACCGAATATCATACTATGCAAAACAGAAGGAGTTTAATCAGTTATTTTTGTCCTTATTGACTTACAAAACTTATAAAATTATGATCATTTAAAATTAGGGTGTTATTTGTATGACGTAAGCCTCAACATGTGTTGTCGATGTTTAAAAACGATAATGAGTAGAACGATGGTAAAATCACGTGAAATAGTTTCAACCTTTTCCTCTACTCCCATGACATTCTCAGACGTGGATTCGAGACTTTATAAAGGTAGAACTATTCAACAGGTGTTTAATCTGATTCTCTATAAAGGTGGAACTGCTCAACAGATGTTGAATCTGATTCTCTATAAAGGTGGAACTGCTCAACAGATGTTGAATCTGATTCTCTATAAAGGTGGAACTGCTCAACAGATGTTGAATCTGATTCTCTATAAAGGTGGAACTGCTCAACAGATGTTGAATCTGATTCTCTATAAAGGTGGAACTGCTCAACAGATGTTGAATCTGATTCTCTATAAAGGTGGAACTGCTCAACAGATGTTGAATCTGATTCTCTATAAAGGTGGAACTGCTCAACAGATGTTGAATCT